AACTTATACTTGTCTGTTGTTTTAAATGAATATACAAAGGATGTGAAATAATATTTCTTAAGTATAAATACATATTATTTATGCACATATATCCCCCTCCACTTTATTTTTCATAGTTCCCATTCATCCATCCAATAGAAATAGATTTATCAGAAGGGGGGGGGTTTGTAGAGATTTTTAGTAATTTTATATAGTTGAGATCATAAGTCAATTGAAGCTAGAAATAAATTTATAAAAGAATCAAAAATATTAATGTAACATCTTAAATGAATGATTATTATTTTGTTATTTTTATGAAGAAAATCTACTTCTAACATGGTGGTGATGATGTTACCAACAACAACAACAACAAAGAATCTTAGAATGAATTAAGAATGTGATGGTGTGAAGAGAGGGTGGGTAATATTATAAGAAGGGAGAAAAATTTGGACATATATAAAAAGTAAAATAATAGAGAAATAATTTTCAATTCCTTTTTTTGATTATTTCATAGTTGAAGATTGATGTTTGAACAGAATAAGAGATTTTAATGTATGTAGTGTCATATTTAATTAAAATTACATAGTTACCTTTAAGTCTTATTTAATTACTTGTCATTTTATGATAAAAAATAGGGTATTAGTTTACTGGTTCAATAAGAATATGCATTTGGAAATAAAGATGGATTATTGAAAATATATATCAAACTTTGAGTGTATATATATATATTCATCGGTGGTACTCAATATGTAGTGTGTAGTCAATGTATATATATATATATATATATAAGGTAAACCATCAATGTTGACTATATTAGATTATATTTTATATCTTTTTTTAGAGTTTCATAATATATTACTAAAGAAATAAAATATTTAAATGAATTAGACTAACGAGATTTCTCTCTAAATGTAAACTGATTAAATGTACTGACAAGCAAATAATATTATTTCAATAGTTGAGATCATGAGTCAATTGAAGCTAGATCACCATGGAAAACCTGGAAGCACTGGACGCAGTGCGCATCTCACAATGGGATGAAATGGCCGTCCAGTGCTTCTTGGTTTTCTATGGCGGTCTAGTTTCAATTGAATCATGATATCAACTATTGAAATTACTATGATATCCACAAAACCTCTTCGGATATTAGATAATATTATGTCAGATATGAAGGGAAGCGACAAACACAAAGGTCATAACAATAGGCTGAACTTGTATAAGGTAATAATAAAAGCTGATTAGATTTTAAAATGCATAACATTAATTTAAAAAATCGACAATAATCAAATAAAAGTGCAGAAAAAAACAACAACCCAGAAACATACCCATTAAGGGAATTAGGGCCAAGGAAGGGTGAGAGGTTGGACAAATCGTTTCTGCATGCAAAGTTCAGGCTTGAGTTCGTGGATTGCCAATGATTTAGCAGTACACAAAATATTGATTTGACCCCCCCTTTCGATCCAATTGCTTTAAATCTGTAGATTACTTTAAAAGAAGAGACCTTTTCTTATTCAATAACACCATGGATTATTTTAATTTTGATATTATGTCATTGAAAATAAAATCTTCAATTTTAAATGGTATTTGCAAGATAAATTACATTTTAAATAAATTGAAATTATACTTTAACAGTAAACAAATTTTCATAAATTAACCTATTGAATCATAACCATCTACTTATCATTAGTTTTGATAGAATATGTTATAGGTTATTAAATTACTGTTGTTAGTTGTGAGACAGATATATATTGTTGAAATTGAATGAAAATTTTGTTGTCATGATACTGTATAGCATTAGAATTTGATAATCAAAAATTCATAAAATTTTTATTCTAAAGTTTACTTTCTATAGTTGAAATCATGAATCAATTGAAGCTAGACCACCATCGAAAACCTGGAAGCACTGGACGGCCGTTTCGTCCTATTATGGGATTCCTCAGCAGTGCGCATCCATGATCCCGGATTCGAACCCAGGACCTACCAGTCTCGGGCCAGAGCCCTTAACCGATAGACCACTGAGCCGGCCTTCAATGGTGTTAATGTCTAACTTCAACTGATCCACGAAGTTTAGCAACCATTCACCAATTGTCTTCAGTGAGCTGATATCTCTACAACAGACTTGGTAGAACTCCACTAGCCACTGCTTCCCACTAGAACTCCAGGACATGTATCTTGAAGTCAGTCACTAGTGAGCATATGATTATAGTCAGAAGGGGTTTACGATGGTGGTCTAGCTTCAATTGACTCATGATTTCAACTGTGAAAATACTAAATTCTCCACAAAACCCCCTCTGATCTATAAACATTTATTTATTGATATTTTATTTTCTAATGATTGCATCATCCTTTATTGCATAATGTCTTTTTTATAATCATAATTATCATATTATTTTTATATAAAATAAACTGGTATATTAAAATTGTAATGTGAATTATTTAGAACATAATATGTCAGATTTTAATTTAAAATGCATCAAGCATCAATTCTTAACGTTGTATCTGGGCTATTGAAGATTAATATTCAGTTAGTTAACTGTTTTAAAAAACCAAAAGTTTCAGAAAAAAGCTGTAACATTCACGTACTGTTAATTATTTCCAACGATGTTTAATTAACATAATTTTGTATCATAATTTAAATCAATTTAAAAATTTTGAATCAGAAATCTGAAAATTTTCATGTTTCTCAAGATAAGTTAAAGTCTTGATTTCGATTTCTAGAAGGTTTGATAATGGGAATTGTCAATAAGTCTTTAACCCGAACAATAAATTACAGCTATACAAGTGATGCCAGTTCATCATTTAAAAATATACTTCTTCATATACATGTGATCTTTGTGTTAGTAACTAAGCTTACTAAAATGTAAATTCTTTAAACAGAGGTAATTCATTTCTTTATTACTGCAGCAAATTATGATAGATTGTTACATTTTATAGATTAGATGCACTCACAGTGGTCTAAAGATTAAGGGCCCATCGCCAGAACTGAAAGTCTTGGGTTCAGTCTCCGTGGGGTCATGAACATGTAATAGTGAGAAGTCACATCCTAAGAAAAAATAGCTATCCAGTACTTCTTTACTCTCAAAAGTTATCTGTAATATAAACTACGAGAATCCCTTCTTTAAGCCTCCTCTATCAATATTCAATATGACTTTAGTTATTTATTTTAAATCATTCATACGAATTCCGTGAATTTCATAACTTGATTGTCGAAATCACATATAGTTTCGAAAAATTCAGTGAAAAAATTTTCTTTCTTCTTTTCAAAGGATTTTTTCAGTTGTTTTGTTACTTAGGTAGATAACTATTAATAGCAATCATGATAATAATATAGTTGAAATCGTGAGTCAACTGAAGCTAGACCACTATGGAAAACCTGAAAGCACTGTACGGCCTTTTCGTCCTATCGTGGGACTCCTCAGCAGTGCGCATCCACGATCCCGCTTCGCGAGATTCAACTTTGAAAATACTGAGATCTCCACAAAGCTCCATTCTGATAATAATAATAATAACTCATAAAAACTAGGCTTTATAAGAAAATTACAAAATGATATAATCGTATGAAGGCTAATTTTGAACTATGTTTATTAATTGTGAATTGAAAATACACTAATTGTGCGAAAGTATAGACTTTAATAGACTGAATATATTAGCCACAAAGTTTGTCAGAAAATAATTGAAATATTCAATTTTAACTATTTTCAAAACGATACTTTCTAATTTCTCAGTCTACAATTAACACAGTATCCATTGATACAATCAGGGTTATAATATTATTTTAACAATGAATGGATATCGAGATTTCCGATTTATCGAGATTGCCTCATAAAAACTGACTTTAATTAAAATGAAAACCCTTGAAAGATGTTCAGAAATTATCTACACTGTAGTCATATATATACATATTGATGGTGTATAAAATTCTGTTAACTCGATGCACTGAAGTTCGGTTTTGTACATGGAATAATATCAACTGGAGGAAACCAGTAAGTTCAGCAAGCACTGTTCACCCATCTGTTCCTATTATGTAACTTATCCACACTGGGGGACCCATCAAGAACTAAACGAAGAACTTACAGTTCTCATGACAAGTGTATTATCTTTGGACTAGTAAGTTGAAATATAGTTATAACTGGCAGTACGCACCCACAAACTTTTCAGGGCTTCATTGCTTTAATTATTTTTGATAGCTTCCCAATTAATATCAATTTATAAAATCAATGTCTACCAATCTCTTGGTTAAACGATGTATACACATTTCCTTTATCAGAAGGAGGTTTTGTGGATATTATAGTAATTTTATATAGTTGAGATCATGAATCAATTGAAGCTAGACCTCCATGGAAAACCTGGAAGCACTGGGCAGCCATTTCGTCCTACTATGAGACTCCTCAATATATATTTCCTTTGTTATTTAAAATTGATTAACTTTCATATATATTCTACACAAACACACATATATATATACATAAACCAATTTTCATGACTCTTTTAAATCTTCTATCTCTATAATAGAACTTTAATTGTTTTCTATTTTTCCTATTGGTTAACATAATCAACATATACTTTATTGTTAAAATTTTGTCACCTCATCTTAGTGTGTACGTATCTAATCTCATAGTTTCCTTCTCTTCATTATTTATGATAAATTAATTTCTATTTTATTTTATCTCTTCTTATTCGGTCTGATTTTTCATTGAATTTATTAGATTTTTAAAGAACAGATAGATGGGAAGATAAATTTTTTTTATTTTTCTGTTTTTTTCCTGCCAATAAAATCAGAAAAATATTCTTAGTCTTTTCAAAACATTTAAGCAGAAACAAGTAAGAGGAGAAGAAGGAAAATGAACAGATAGGGAAGAAAATTTTTCAAAGGGATGTAAATATTTCATAGGTTTTATACAATCTATTTGTCTGTGATAAATGAATAGCAGTGATCCTATTCAGTAATGTAGATATGATAAATATATATAAAACACGATTAGTCAACTATCTTTCATAAGAAACATTCAAGTTTTTTTTTAATGTCTAATAATCCTGATGGATGTTCCGAGAAAACAAATTACACTAATGATTTATTTATGAATAATTTGAAAGGTATTTGGCCTACTCCGTTAATTGTACCACCTCCATGGGTACTTTTACGTATATTTCAAGAAAAGTCTAATAATCTAGATATATTATTTAATAATGATAAGTTGCATGAAAGACTTAATGGAGAAAAAAATACATTTTCTTTGATTAAGTAAGTTTGAATGTATAATTTTTTTATATATTGCATTTTATAGATAGTCTGAAGCGGTTTCTTTAAAAATTTACTTTATATAACATTTAAATGTAGTCCCGGTATTTGAAATGTTTAATAATTTATTGAGTTGTATATTGTTATTGATTTTCAACTATTTACGAAATTGGTTTATTTTGATATAATGAATGACATATTAGACTTAGTCAACATTTTAGATTCTATGTTAGTTCCATTGTTGTGAATGAGAACACGGGTGGGAACAATCAAATGTATTTAAACGCAAATTAGCCCCCAAATGCCCTGGTATGGCTGAGAATGGGGAGAGTCACTCACTCTCGAAATGCTCTCACATGGTCACGCGTATATAGCCCCTACCAGGGAAGTCCTACTCATTGCCTTCTCGTGGCGGAAGTATTGTTTACGAAATTGAGAGGACGGAAAGCGAATGTACGACGCTTTAACCGGGTTAGTGGACGTGGAAAATCCACCTGGTGTAGTTGGAAAACCCTGATTCCAAACCAACGGTGCACATGGGCTCCAGTATCCTGAGGGAACAAATGGTGTATGAATCAATCAATGGTCACCGGCTACCATGGGACTGCATCCCCTTACGACGTCCCAATACTTGTGGATCAGACCATTAGGTCAAAAGCCTCAGATATGACCTCTTAAGGAAACCACCTGCTTCAGTTTGGGCATCTGGGTAGTATCACAACCCCCACACAAATTAAATGAGATTTGTGCGGCGCATATATATCTGGTGCCCCTTTGTACCAATATTTGTGTTTAAATAAAGTAGAATAAAATGAAACACAAATTACAAACTATCTCACTAAAATTTGATAATCATACAGTAAATAGTTAATTTGCAAAATAACAATCAATTGTTTCAATCTTCACTGTCCCTTCTGTAAATCTCAGTCCATCTTCTCTGATTTTATTGTTTATGCATTTTCATACTGATTGCGCTTTGTTCTTATTCTTTCCTCATCGATCTTCTGCCAAAATACATTCTATGTCTGACCATCACCATATACTACTTATATGGACATCATGAGGTTGTGTCATATATTCAGTGATGTTTTTTTTAAACGAATAGCAATAAACATTAATAATCACTGCTTGGTTAGAATTTAAAAGGTCTAGTTTTGTGTCAACTTACAATTAATTCATTTCAATCACTTATTTAAAAATGAATTATAAATCATCTATACTGATGGTGAAGAAGATAAATGATTCTAATTATTAGTTATTCTTAAATGTACCTGGTTAATAAATTAAATGAGAATTAAATTGTTAAGTTTCATAGGAAACGTTAAACAGAATAATCTTAGGTGATTGAAGGAGATCATCAGTAAGGTTTTGTACCAGTTAGGATTCGTTGACAAGTACATATTCACTTTCATTGGACTGTTGTTCTTTGTGATGTTTGAATCTGCTTAATCCATTGTCACAATCAAAAGTGTTATTACTGAGCTTTTCGAACTGTGATTGATTAGGTGAGCTGTTTACAATTATTGGTCACTTGACATTAGTGACTATTATTACATTTTCCGTCTCTTAATAATGATATGACACAATAGTGTAATCTCTTTTATAATGTAAATAAAATAATAATGCTCTCAAATTTTATTGTTAAATTCTAGAATTGACATTCATATGTATATATAATGTTTTTACTGAATTTTGTGTTGGATTGTGGAGCAATATTCATGATTACTGGAAGTCACTTAGTAAACGTTATTACTTTACTCCTTTTTACAGTGAATGTTTATTTATCATGTTGAGGAGATGCAAGGTATTATGATTGGAAATCAAAAATTAAGCTTTTTACCAGTTGTTTGTTAACTGTATAGTCTATCAACAACTATTATTTGTCTCTATAGTTCTATCATGTAAATTTACCTCGTCCTAGAGAGACACAGTCGTTAGATATTTACTTAGAAAACGAAACAGGAGTAAGTTTAAACATAAAAAATAGAGTAAACAGAGTTAATCTCAAATTATTTATTGGTCTTTTTCTAAAGAAATTTTATCAGTGGAATTAGTTATATCAGATGATAATGATAGGTCAAAGTGATCATCATTTTATGAATGACTAAAAGTTCATTGTTTTAGTGATTTCCGAACGAATAGAATTTTATAGGATTTAGACAAGCCTCATAAATGACTTTAAAGTCGGTATGTGAATTTATTGATTAAATAAAGTTAACTTACTGTTCAACTGTTGAAGCCTTGATAGCTCTCCTTTCACTAGTGCGAATGTGATTCGGTATAGGCTTTGAAAGCTGGTTGTAACATTAATCAGTGTAATAATAATACAATGATACAGTGAATAATAATACAATATTTCAATGTATTAAACAAATTGAATTTCTGAAGTTCCTCTTTGACCTAATACAGGTAAACATAATAATGTAGTGGATGGATTACATAACGGTTTACATTTATTCAGTCATCTATTAGCATGTTAGGTAATATTTGTGACATTTTTGAGAATTTAATTATAATAAAGCCTTCAATTATGCTTAAAATCAAATAAACGAGTTTGATTTTAATTTTTGCGAACTTGAAGTGATATTCAATTTTAAGAGTAAACTTATATAACTACTTATCAATATAGGGTTGTGGAGATTGTTGATTCTCATTGAGATCATGAATCGATCAATTTTAAACCACTATTGAGAACCTGGAAGCAGTAGCCGACCGTTTTGTCCTAGAATGGGACAACTTGGCAGTGTCTATCCATGATTTTGCGCGCGGAATTCGGACCAAGGACCTAAGGTCTCGTGCACGAATATTTAACCTCTAAACAACTGAGCTAAGATCCAACGGTTTTAATGTCTAACCTCAACAAAACGACGATATTTCGTTACTGTTAGATGTCAGCTCAGTGACCTAGAGGTTAAGCGTTCGCGTGCGAAACCGAGGGTCCTAAGTTCGAGTTCCCTTAGTGAGGGGTCGTGAACGCTCACTGCTGGGGATTCCTTTACCAAGACAAAATAGCAGCCCAGTTCTTCCAGATTTTCAATGGTGATCTAACGTTGACCGATTCATGATCTCAATCATAACTATTTATATTCATATTTCATTAGTGATATGTAGTTGTATATTTTTGATTTTTTCGTTACAACTTTTCATAGTGAAGTGAAAATTAGTGACAAACAAAATACTGGACTCGATGAAACTTCACCAGCTGTTTCAAATAATATTTCATCACTTTCTACAACTGTTCACAATTCTGTGTGTAGTACTCTTCAAATTATAAAAGGCAATCGAAAGATACCTAAAGAAGTAATTAACAAAATCAATAATATTGAACGTGGACGTGAACGTAGTTACAGTTGCCCACAATGTGCGAAATGTTTCACTTCAAATTCCGGCTTAAAACAACACATGCATATACATGCATCATTCAAACCATTCACTTGTCAGGTTTGTGAAATTCTAATAATTGGGTTAAATTCTTCATTTCAGTTGTTGCTTTTAATTTTCATACTAAGTAAGTGGATCAACAAATTACATGTATATTAAGATTTCGAGAAAACTTTACTTTAAAACATATGCAGTCCTAACTACCTGTTCGTATTTTTATAATGTGCACGGTTAGACAATATATATTAGCATATATAACGGAAAAGAAAGAGTTGAATGTTTTTCAATATCTAGTTAAAACTGTTGGAAATAAGTATGAACTTATCAGCAGCTGCGTTTCATAGACTGATTAGTTTATACAGCACCAGAATTTAGTCTGATCACTTCTGAAAAAAATTTACTGAAAACCCGTTGATTTCTTACAAAAAACAATCGTTAATCCATATAACCACAAAGTTTCTGGCTTTAATTTACATGGAATGAGCTAGTTAATCACAGTTATTTGTTCAGAGATCTTTTAGAGAATGACCTCGGTTATAATAAATACTCTTTAATATGAACTTATACCATGTAAACAGCTATTGAAGACTGGATGGATTGAATAACGTTTCCTTAGTACAACTTAATGACCAAATGATAAGATCAAATTTATAACTATCAGGTTTAACACGGTAATATTAGACCACTGAGTTAAAATCTGAAGTATCATATTTCTACTTTGGGTGAGTAGTTGCAACTTAGGATGATAAACCCATAGAGGGTTTCATGGCTCTCAATAGTTTTTCAATTAATTTTATTTCTAAACAACTGGGCCAGGATCCAACAGTGTTAACGTTTAACCTCAACCATTCCACGATATTGAACAACCATGTTCCATTGTATTCAGTGGGTAACTGTCTCATATCTAATATGGTTAAACTCCACTGGTCACGGGTTCTCAGAGAAACTGAGAGGATTACCTTAGGACACTAGTGATCATATGATAATCCAGTTTGGTCCTGGCTCAGTTGTCCATAGGCTAAGCATTCATACTGAGCCGAAGGTCACGGGTCTGAGTCCTGCGTGTGGGGTCGTGGATGTGCGCTGCAGAGGAAACCCATACCATGACAAAACGGCCATCCACTGTTTCTACGTTCTCAATGGTGGTATTGTATCAATCGTTTCGTGATCTCAATGAGACTCAAAAACCTCCCCAACGCTATACTGATAATATTCTTAAAAGAATCAAAATGAAATGCAGATTAATAAAACAGATTACTCAATCAACCAATATTAAGTACTGTAAATGTAGATGTCTAGTAACGGAATGTCAAATTAGACCCATAATAGTTGTTGAGAACTTATTTCTCAAAATTTATCTCATAATGTGGTGGGCTATCAATAAAATGTACATGCAGATGTCTACTAGGATTAAAATATTTGATAATAGTTGTTCCACAATAGGACGAAGCGGCCGTCCAGTGCTTCCAGGTTTTCCATAGTGGTCTAGCTTCAATTGACTCATGATTTCAACTATATAAAATAAGTCATGTTTAATAGAAATCAGAATGAATGAATTTGTGATAGATTATTACTTTATGATCAGTATAGTAACTAAATACACTTTTAGAATTTATTGTTTGTAATTATTCGTTTATATGTATTTAGTAGCAAAGTTTCTTATAAAATTGTAATTTAATTCCATACATAATTCAGTTATAATCTATTTGGTTGAGCTCATTTTAGTGGAGTTCGCACAAACGACTAATGTTATACAAACTTTTTATGTTTATATGGTATCCTTTAAACTCTAGTTTTAGTTGACATGAAATGATATAAAGATATTGAGGTTGAAAGAAAGTATATACGGCTCCCGAATTCCCTGATACGGACGAGGGTGGCGAGAGTCTGCTCTCCCTCTCGAAATACTCTCACATGACTACGCGCATACAGCCATTGACAAGGAAGTCCTACTCATTGCCTTGCCGCGGCGGGGGTGTTGTTTACGAAATTGAGAGGACGAAAAGTGAGTATCCGGCGCCTTAACCGGGTTGGTGGACACGGAAAGTTCATATAGGGGGGTTGGATAACCCTGATTTCAAACCAATGATGCACATGTGATTCAGTATCCTGAGGGAACAAATGGCGTACGAATTAATCGTTGGTCTCTGGCTACCATGGGACTGCATCTCCTAAAGTTGCTCCACTGTCTTGTGTTCAAATAAATACATAAATACAGTTTTATACGACAACTTATGAATTTGAAATATAGATCGAACAAAACGAATTTAACTGTATCACATATGCACTTATAAAAATTTATATAAATACTTAATAGAAACAAAAATAAAGAGAATTCAAAGTATAAGATATCAAATATTTACTGTTTATAAAGTTTTAAACAGTAAATTAATCTCAGAAGGGGTTTTAGTGGATATTATAGTAAGTTTAATAGTTGAGATCATGAGTCAAGTAAAGTTAGACCACCACGGAAAACCTGGAAGTACTGAATCGCCATTTCATTCTATTTTGGGACCCCTCAGTGAATTAATCGTTGAATATTAATTCTAGGTTTCTTGATAATATTTTGGATGATTATATTCCAAATAAACACAAGAATAAACACTATTATATGACACTGACTGAAGGCGATCACAATAAATCAGCTTGTATGATTGTTGTTAATAAGTGGTACTTTAGTATCGGTTGGTATGTTAGGCTCATATACTTTATTCTAGCTTCTGGACAAGCCGATTCACCTGTCCATCATGAGCCATGTTTTCACCTTGTCAATTATTCACCTATTAACCCTGACCATTTTTATATGAGCGTAGGTGTGTGTACACTTCTTATCCTATATATCGCATGTTTTTAACTTATTCTTGTGTGACTATAAATATTGATTAACGCTTGGTAAAAGTGAGTTGGCTTACCTGCCATCTCCAATGCGTGTCATTTTTGTTTTCTCATGTGCTTATAACTTTCTGGCATGTGTCATTTGTCAATAAAACTGTAGCTGCTGCTTTTCTTTGCCTTCTGATTTTATGCACCGTTAATATTGGTATTATAACGGTTATTGAGGTGATCGATTAATGAAGCATGGCACTACAGTTCCATGATTGTTTTCACAACTAAACTTGACAATATTGTTGTATAGTTCAGCATTAATCCGTACAGTTTATTCCTTTTAATATTTTGTAATTTTTTACAGTATGTTAAGAATTAACTAGTTATAGGTTATATATAACATTTATATAAATTTCTCAATTAATCAACAATCTATACATTTATCTATTCATGTATTTCTTCATAAATAGGTATGTCATAAAGCTTATACCCAGTTCAGTAATCTATGCCGACATAAACGTTTACATAAACGTTGTCGACAAAAACCAGATTGTTTATCATGTGGACATGAATTCGCTAATACTTATTCATTATTAAAACATCAAGTTTTAACATCATGTGGTAATAATTCTTTATATAACAATAATACAAATAAAACTACTGAAAACAATGTTAGTAGTAATATTAATTATACTGAAAAAAATGTCCATTTGAATAAAGATAGTCATAATAATAAAAAAACAACTTATAATACAAAACATTTGATTGATCTAAAACAAAATGAAATGAAAAGAAAACATGATAATGCTAATAATAGTAATAAATTAAATTCCATTGAAATATTTAATCTTTATAATACTTTAATAAAGACTAATCTACATAAAGAAGATCCACATATTCATAGAAATAATACATTTTATAAAGATTATAAGGAATTTAAAAAAATTAGAAAATATACAAAAAGCTATAATCATATAATAGAAGCATTCACATCGAAATTAATGAATAACTCTTATGATATTCAGTCGATACATTCCAAGGAAATACAACTGAAGAGTGATGATATAAATGAATATGAAAGAAATAATTACATGTAAGTTGTTTGTTTTTTGGGATGACTTTTCATGTTAACTAATTATTAACAGGAGGTGTTTGTGTGGAGATTTCAGTATTTTCATAGTTGAAAACATCAGTCAATTGAAGCTAGACCACCAAGGGAAACCTGGAAACACTGGATGGCCGTTTCGTCCTATTGTGGGACTCAACAGTGCGCATCCACGACCTCGCCTCACGAGATTCGAACCCAGGACCTACCAGTCTCGCGCCATATCACTTAACCGATGGACCACTGTGACCATCCAGTGCTTCCAGGTTTTACTTGATGGTCTAGCTCCAATTGAATCATGCTTTCAACAAATTATTACCTGATTGATGAAAGTTTTTATTTAAAATCCTAATTTTATGTAAGTTACTAATTTATGGTAGTGTAATTTGAGGGTATTTTTCTAATATGAACTGATAAGTAGTAGGTGTGGTATTAAATTACCGGTGATATCGAATGATAATCAAATCATGTTGTCAGGTGACTAAAATTTTAAATTTAAACAATCGGATTTTTATTACCGAAATAAATAACTTACTTTCGGTTAACTTATGGCCGAATAGATAAGACATTAGTTTAGTTTGATATAGAAATTCATGTCTAACTTGTATTCAGTTTTCTATGTTTAACCCATATATCTGGTCATTGTCAAATAATAAAAAATGTTATTTATAATGAGAAGAGATGGAGGGTAGCTAGCAGTGCAATCCAGGACAAAATGAGTGAATTTATCAAAAGATCTCAGCTCATTGGTTGGTAGGTATTTAACACCTGACTTCCAATAGTTTCTCAACTGATGTTAGTATTCGATAAATACTGACAGAGGTACTACTCAATGAATGTTAGAAATATCTGTGCGGTGTTTCCTTATGGGAGTAACAAAGTTTTTGGTTTATTATAAGTGTTTAAGACTCTCCAAACCTACAGTTAGTAAAGAAAAGTAATGGTCTCATTAAGTGTAATCTACTTAAAGTGTTAATAATTTTGACCAATCAACAATTGTTAGGTAAGAAAATGGTAGGTAGAAATTATAGTTTCCATAAATTCTGAGTGTCTTTCCCATTGTATTTAGCAGTGTTTGAGATTTTGGTAATTTTGGGACTCTTAAGCCAATATAGCTACTACACTACTTCTGATGTTATCAGTGACAATGAAATTTATTTCACGTTCAAGTAAACATTAAATTATTATACACTTAACTTCTGACTTATTATATTTACTACTTGTTACATAGAAATTACTGGTTAATAGATCTTATGCATTATATCTATTAACTTTTCAGGATCCATGCATCTAGGTAATCCCTATTCATTATCAATATTTTTCCTATTATGAGTCAAATTACACTGAGATACACCAATTAAATATTATTATAAAATAACCTGATGAATCCTTAAGTTCTTCAGTAAACACTTCTCAAACTTATTTTATAATTGACTGTATATTTACATGAGTCTAGCTTTGATACACCAAGTAACAACGTACTACATGACCTTAAATTCTGCCATATCTGAAGCAACTCTCTCTATATCGGTTACATTATATATAAGTGTACTTATTAATTAAACAAATTTCATTAGGGAATATAATTTTTTTTAAATATAAATGATTCCGTTTTCTATTCCCAATAGACAATAAGTAAGTAAAATAGGGTGATATTAGATATTATTTATGATTCATGATGTTTCTGTCATCTAATTTTCATTTTAACAGATCATTGGGTTTTATAAATTGTAAGCTTATCAATAATCTGCATTTCAAGTTATTTATTAACTTAAATAACTAAAGTTATTTAATAACTTACCTCCAAATGCCCTGATAAGGCTGAGAGTGGGGAGAGTCTGCTCTCCCTCTCCAAATGATCTCACATGGCCGCGTTTATATAGACTCTCCCAGGGAAATCATACCCTCTGCTTTCTCGTGATGGGGGTGTTGTTTACGAAATTGAGAGAAAGAAAACGGAATGTTGGACGCTTAAACCGGGTTGGTGGATACGGCGAGTCCACCCAGGGGAGTTGGAAAACCCTGATTACAAACCAATGGTGCACATGAGCTCCAGTATCCTGAAGGAACAAATTGTGTATAAATCAATCGTTGGTCACCGGCTACTATAAGACTGCATCTCCTAACGTTGCTCCACTGTCGTTTGGATGAGACCATTAGGTCGAAGGCTCGGGGTGTGGCTCCCTAAGAAAACCACCTGCTTCGGTTTGGGCACCTGGGCAATATCACAACCCACACACAAATCGAACGAGATTTGTGTGGCGCATATATATCTGGTGCCCCTTTGTACCAATATTTATGTGTTTAAATAAAATGAAATAAATAAAATTTAACAACTTTAATCTCAACCATTGAAATACAGGTTTGAACAATTGAGTGATATCTCTAACTGCCATTCAACAAATATCTAACATACTCTATTCCAAAGATCTTGTGATTAGCTACAGAGTTACTTTATATTGTGCAAATAAATACTCTCCAATGAAGTTTGTTCCCAAAGTTTATTAATTATGTTAATTTCACCCCACTTCCAATTAAACTAAAATAAATGTACAAATGCAAACAGAAATGTGACCAATTTACTATTAAAAACTGTGATTTAGATATGGAACTAAACAACTTAATTCAGTAGACTGGAAATATGAAATTGTATATCTTCTTCTTTACTTTCTGTTTCATGTACAACTGATTAAATAAGCTCGCACTTATTTAATCATCTTATTTGTAATATAAGTTGAGATTCAGTATACTGATTGATAACGAAATGTAAGTATAGCGATAAAAAGTTTTTACTGATGTTAATCTAATTCCCTATAATTATATATATCTTTCCCATAAACCAATGTTCTTTCAATGTGTGACTTCGTTCTATATTATTATATATTATACTAATCGATTGTTTCACGTACCTGGGAAGCATCGTTGATAAACAAGGAGGACCGGATGCAGATGTAAAGGCGAGGATTGGTAAATCAAGGGCAGCATTCCTACAATTGAAGAACATATGGAACTCAAAACAACTGTCAACTAATTTCAAAGTGAGAATCTTCAATGCGAACATCAAGACAGTCCTACTGTACGGAGCCGAAACGTGGAGAACTACTACATCCATCGCCAAGAAGTTACAAATATTTATAAACAGTTGTTTACGCAAAATACTCAACATTCACTGGCCGGATACTATCGGCAACAACGTTTTATGGGAGAGAACAAACCAGCTTCCAGCTGAGGAGGAAATCAGGAAAGGACGTTGGAAGTGGATAGAACAAACATTAAGGAAATCAGCAGTGTGCATTACACGGCAAGCCCTAACTGGGAATCCGGAAGGGAGGCGGAAAAGAGGAAGGCCAAAGAACACATTACTCTGGGAAATAGAGGCAGATATGAAAAGGATGAATGTTAACTGGAAAGAACTGGAAAGGATTGCCCAGGAAGGATTGGATGGAGAATGCTGGTGAGTTGCCTATGCTTCTCCACGAGGAGTAACAGACGTAAGTAAGTAAGTAAGTAATCGATTGTTATTTAAGCTACAGTTTAAAACAATACACATACCTTATTCTTTACATTAAACTAAGTTTAGTAAAATATAAATGTCATGGTTAAGAAAATTGTAACATTTCAAGCGTTGCATATTAAATAATCAACTTTGAAGTAAAACAAAGATGGATAGTGGCTAACAGTGGAATCCAGGACGCGCGTTTAACCTCATTTAGGACTAGTCAGCTGGATGTATCTTCATTTCAGAGTTGATGTTCACCCTAGGCCTCAAACCCAGTACCTTTCGCTTCAAACGCCATCACGTTATCCACTCAGATACTGAGTCATGATAGCCACTTGCTTGTGCAATGGAGTGAAGTTTGAATTCATTTAGTATTGTTTGTTTGAATCTTCCCATTGATACTTAAGACTGAAACTGGTCAGTCTCTTATTCCACTGCTAGCCACTATCCATCTTTGCTTATAATGCTTGTGAATTAAGTCTATATCGAGGCAATATGCACAGTAATACATACCACTAAGAGACTGACCACTTACAGTTTTAAAACATCAATAGGGAGATTCAAACAAACAATAGTAAGTGAATTTGAAGTAAAACGTTTGAATATCTTTAAGATAATAGTTAAAGTCAATTTTTGAATGATTCCTTCTTTTTCAATAGATATTTATTTTCATTTTCAGTATTATTTGTAAATTTTTAAACTTTTATTATCCATTTAGAAAAAATTATGGTAAAGATATGAAGACAGAGGCATTTCTGTTAACACAGCATAATCATAAAATCGATAATGTTGAATTTCGGAAAGCGAATGCGAATTCAGATCCAATGGATTTATCTAATTCAAGTAAAATTAACACTCAAAATTATTCTCATATTCCCATTGCTAATAAAGGAAAAATTGAAGAGGAACATAATTTTAATAATGATCCTATCAAATCATTTGTTAGTACAGATAAACAATTGATCAAATCAGATATAAAGAGCAATACAATGACATTTATGAAAAATAATTTATATGATAATGAATTTCAATATCTCTATGGAATTGTAAATCTTGCAATGTGTACGACTCAACAGTCTTTGACAAAATCTGTAGATCATCAAAAACAACAAATTGAAGGAGACGATGAACATTTTAATCTTGAACGACATTCAAATGATGAACAATATGTGAAAAATCTATCGTCTATGATTTCAACTAATGATCTAGAAAGATATTCATTCATTTCATCTCATAATTTCTTGTATGAAAATTTTTACACATGTAATGTTTGTCATAAAAAATTTCCACGTGCGGCTAATTTAAATCGACATATACGTACCCATACAGGTGAACAACCATATCAATGTCCACATTGTGATCGACTATTTAGTATTTCATCAAATATGCAAAGACATGTAAGGAATATACATAGTAGAAATAATTTATTCATTAAAGATAGCAAATAACAGTTCTATGCAACTGTACAAAAGAAAACAATTTTAATTCTAATCTTAAGAAATCATGATACCACACATGATCTTAGCTCAGAAATCCGAATGGCGGCAGTACATATACTAAATCTTAAGAAATCAAATCATTGTAATTAATGAGTAGGCTTTTAGTAATCATTATGGGATTTTACTTGTTAGCATGATTGTGAACAGTATATTTCCCTCAAAATATGATGTACAATTGCATATTATAAACAAATTTGACTACACATATTTAATATTTAACAATGAATGAAATATTTATCTAGTATCGTGAATAAATATTACAAGACCTACTGAATAACATACAGTTTTATTCATGAATGTGAAAATAAATGAACAAAAGTATAAATTTCCTTTTAAATTGTTTCAGTTATCCTTTTATGTTAATAGACATTCGTTAGTAAAGATAACCCGCTACCTCCTTACTAGATTCTAATCCAGATCACTTAGTTTCACACCATATAACCTTGCCATTGAGCTATTGGAATTGTAACTATTCTTCTAAGCAATAAGGATTAGACAATCTTAAAACTACCCACTAACCATGAGTTAATCAATGTGAATACTTCATTCTTCCAGATCATTTATGGGCTGAATAAGTCAGTGGTGACGTTCTAGACTGTGAAAATGAGTGATGTGAGTTCGAATCTTGTAAGGCGCATCCGTTCCTTAAAGACTGAATGTGTTCGCCACTAACGAGTTCCGAATAGTATTACACTGAACTCCAGGGTTCCCTGTCCACTACCCTCAACCATCAAATATCAAAAAAATAATATGCCCAATATTTAGTAACTTATACAAGTGGTTACATAATTACTCGATCGGTAAAATCTGGTCAGTACTTAACAGCAAATAAATATAAAATTGGTCACAATATAGAGAATAATGATTGCTGAAGACGAGGCCATGTATTATTTTAATAAAGTAATGCTAAGCTGTTTATAAAAAAAATATCAGTCAATTCATAGTTTAATGAAATGGTAAGTTTCTGATTACAATCATGTTACTTGTAATATTACTTTAATTGGTTAAAAGTTAAATTAATTGTTGGGTTTGTAGTGCAATGCTTCGTTAATCTTTTACCTCGATGACCGTTATAATACAAATCTTAACGGTGCATGAAATGAGAAGGCAAAGACAGATTAATCATAAATACCAGAATACAAAATATGAATTATAAAATTTCAAATAAGAGTAAGAATATAAGAACCTGTTGATAAAAACACATGTTGCCCTGGTTACCGATAACTCATTACTCCTTTTTATTTTACGTTAACAGGTAAAAAAAAATACAGGCTGTCAGAAAGATAGGTTTATCCGTTATCAATGAAGTATTAGTTTTATGAATATTTGGTTATTATACAAAAGATATATCCAACATTAATATCAACTTTATAGGATATTTAACAAAATATCAGATAGGTAAAGAATAAGACTGAGTCAATAGAATTTCAGCAATTTAAAACAATGAAGTGTAAAAAGAAATGTGTATTCTAAAGAATTAAGTTAAATATAGGCCGTTATCCAAAATAATCACTAATTGGAGCTAGAATAATTTATACAATTTCATATCATAATGTTTGATTGATCAGTGAAGTTGTTGTAATTTCCTTATGACATAATTTTAAAAAAAAACATATTAGTGTAGGTTTGTAATGAGTTGGGATTTGGAGTGATAAGTATTATGTTGGAGTCTCAGTACGACGTATATTTAAATAAGGAGTAGCAAATAGGGTGAAATGAACGTTTCGGATTCTAGTAATATGGTGAGTGCTACTGATGTAGACAGCTATAAGTAGTATTTATCGTCAGTTGAATGTGAAATGCCTAGAGGCAGACGGTTAAGGAGATTGAAGAAAGAGGATGAGGACAAAGAATGATTGGTGTGGAAACGAAAGAACACTGAAGTTTGAGACGATTGAGTGGTATTTGTAAAGGAAACAGTCAAGTTTGAGACAATTGATTGACATTTTGCAAATTAAGTATTTACTGTACGATACTCAGATTTTACTAACATCTTCTGTAATTTCGTATTTAAATACATTCGTTTGTCACCACTTATGTTCTCGTTCACTACAGTAATATACGTTGTCCAGATTTACCAAAACTCTTGTTTTAAGGGTGTTTGAGAAGAGTTTTATTTTCAGTTGTCTCTTAAAAATTTCTTTACAGTGAGACATAAACTCCAAGATTTCGGATAAAGTAAAAACTTGTGTAATGGAAAGAACACGGCGAAAATTCCTCTACACCACTTTATTGAACAGTATTGTCATTTACTTGTTTCTTCTCCCTGTCATGTATTTTAACTTTCATTCAGGTCTCTTTTATGTTCTTCTGTCTTCCTCATCTGAGTTTTTATTATGTGTCTTCGGTTAAAGACTCTTATTTTATTGTTGCATGTTGCCGGACTATTGACAGTAAGGTTCTACATGACTTGTTTCAAGGTCACAGTGTGGTTCACTGCAAGGCAGTTAACATTTGACTATCTGCTTGGAAAGGTTTCTGGAATCCTTGCAGATATACATCTGATCTCATCATGCTGAGAATATTTTTTATGATTCTCAGGTATTGAACTCCTGTTTATCAACTATTTCCTTTCTTGTTTAGCACGTTAGTTTGCGTTAAAGAAACTCTTGACTGTATGGCACGGGCCGCACCATCTGAGGTATCTTGTATTTTCCATGTAATATTTTTGAATCGTATGAGAAAGTCCCGAACTTTCACTGTATTCATAAAGCGTAGTTTGAACAGCCAAAAATAATGAACGTTTCGAATCACCAACCAATCTCTTGACAAAACATTTCGCCTAACCAACTAATATCGACACTGATCCAAATATTATATACCACTAGACAATAAAATAGAATTGTTATCATATTTTGTCAGAGCATTTGAAAATTTTCATATTTCTACCTTTCTGTAAAAATTAAAGTAACTCAAAATAACGGACGAAAGTCTTGTTTTGACAGTTTCATTACTGTAAAATTACATTCACATCATCAAACTAACTAGGAATATTTTTGATGACGAAGACATTTTCAGTGACAGAGAACACGACTTATTTATCGAATAACTTTTATTTATTATTGTTAATGGTATATTTTTGTGTTTCGAAGAAAAAGACAAAGATGGATATGACGAAGTTGTTAATGGTGTTATTCTTCATATATGCTAACTGTATTTATAAAGCATTTGACTTGAATTCCGTTATCTAAATAGCTAATTAGTGGCAATTTCTACTTTGAAATACCAATGAAGAAGAAATATTTTCGTAATAAGAGAATTAGAGATAAAAATGAGCGAACTCGAGTTATGGGGCACAGTAAAAAAATTCAGATCCTTTTAAAGCCACTTGCCATTCCGTTCCAATGACCTTGAACAGCATGATGGTCTGATAATCATAACGGGTAACTGTTTGTGAAAATTAAGAAACTACTAAGTGTTTGCTGCTTAAGTACCCGTTTCGTTACGAAAACTTGTAGTACTGCATCCGTTTAGACGTTTTGCTAAAATGTTGCGTCGTATGCATAAGTCTCTTCACTGTGACAGTATATTCGGATGAATACTTGTAGTGGCATTGTTTTCTAACCAGACGGTCTTCGAAGCCAAACATATAATGACTGAAAAGATGTATAATCGATATGTTACACGTGTAGAAGGTCGGTAGTGGTGGAAGTGGAGACATTCATTCAATCGAATGGCATGGCTCAGTCTTGCGGGCGTGCTCATTTTGTATAACTTATTACCATTAACATCAAATATATTATTCTATCCCTAGCATAAATGTGTTCTTCAATAGTACTAAGTATCATTGTTAATTGTCATGGTACGATGAGTCAGTGTAGATAGTGATGCGACTTTCACATAAGATCTTACAGACTAGGCAATCATATGAAAAATTTACCATTTTCGGATAAGGTCTATTATCAACGTAGTATTAGTATCGAACTAGACATACTAACAAGATTTATTATGCGAAAAAATGTACAGCTGTTATATTTATATTTAGATAATCAATTAGATGAATAAAGGTGGCAGTAATCAATATAAGGCACAGTTATCATTCAAGAGTAGAAGTTTGTGGTCCGACACTCTTTCTTATGTCACCGATCAAACTGTAAGTACTTTCGATCCAATCCTTTATGATGATAATGAATGTGTCATAGAAGTGGGATGTTCAAAGTTGTAGCTTGATCACTGGTAAAACTAAGGTTTCTAATTGTGTTATACTTACCACCTAATGATTCCTTTGTAACTGGTTCTGCACTTGTTGCTAATTACAAATATCGTAATGTCAATTTCGCTCATCTAGTTTTACATGCCTTGAATTGCACTATTTTGAGGAATTCTTAGTTAGCAAATCAATTTGAATACTCTTAATCATCATACTACGCTCTTCAGAATATGGTGTTATTCACTAGATTTGGCTATAGTAAAATGAACTATGGTATTATGTTCCAGGATAGCAGTGCTTTGTGACTGTTGATTTGAATGTGACTAATCTTATTCATAAATTATCTTCGAGATTTACTAAGGTGACTGTAGCAGTAAATATGTTATTTCGATCTACCTGAGTGCCCTGTTAATATATGACGTGATGATTTTGCGCCAAGTAGAGAGGAGTGAACTATCTATCAGAGCAATCATACACAAAAGCCGTATGAGCAGTCTTCAGTACTTATTAGTTTTGCTTTCTGCCTAGCCCAGCCAGTTAAGTCCAGAACACCAATGACCGCCTCTAAAATATGAATCATTATTATCAAACATACTGGGTTTATATACCAAACAAACTGACCGCATCATACCATAAAATAGAAAATAACATTTGTACAAGATTTGGCCAAATGTGGCTGTGAATAGGGGGAACAGTAATTAATAGACTAGGTGTAACTCAGGAATGGTAGTCTATGGGTCAAAATAGAACTCATAATAAAAGGAACATGATTATGAATAGTTAAGTTACTTAGCAATTATACAATAGTAATATACATATCATATTGGTCTATACATAGTTCTCAAAGTTACCATTCATAAATCGCTTCGGGGTATAGCAAAATAAATCCCCAAAATCATTAGCTCTGTAGGTCTTCGACATTGGATGCTGACCACATTAGTTTTAATGGACTCACCTAGCTGTAGGCGGTCGGTCATGCATCCGCACCAGATCACGAGTGGTAACGGCGTGCTCAACGTCTCCTACGATCACTAGCCAGTTAAATCAGTCACCTCTGGATATATTGATAGTCTACCAAATATATCTTCCAACCTTCTCGTTTTTGACTTTTGATTACACTGGATGGGCTCGATTCAATTATAAAAGGCGTTACTGGTAAAGTGTTGTCTAACTACAATATGTGTGGT